ATCATCTCTGAATGCATCTTCTACATCCCTATACGGGTCTCTTCCACATTCTAAATCGATACTGACGGATCTTCTCATGACGTCTAGATCTACCCTCAATTCCCTATCCGATGGTACCAAAGTTGGCATAACTTTTTACAGTTAAGGTGGAGAAGCTTCCTTGGCATTGTTTCGAGTCGTAAACCATGCATGAACAAATAGGCCAGGCTAGTTTTATGTGTACTACTTCCAAATATTTAGTGATTACTTCCTTGCGAAAGATTACATAGCCCAATGACATTTTAGTTATATTATTAGTACGCGCATTTACAGACGATGTTTCTAACAATATTACTATACGAATCAGAAAGGTTAATAATGAGGATCATCACGACAGAAAATTCTTTTATGTTGTTATTCAAATGAGTGGTTCACAAAATCTGCATGTACCTGTGAAGTTCTACCTATTCAAGTTACACGGTTCATAAAGTACTGGTTGAACAATCTAGAAGTCTTTAAATTTGCCCTGCTGAAATAATTTCTATTCGATAAATTTTCTACGCTAGACACAGACTCATTCTGTAGTTGCTAAATCACATCAATCACTCCCGAACTTGACACTAACAATTTTTGACCAAATGTTAGAAGAGTAGCTAATTCGCTGAACGTAGACACAGCACCAAACAAAGCCAGTGGTAAGACTTTTCATTGGCGAACACGTTCCAGACCATCAGTAGAGAACTAATATGAAAAACCATAAACTGCAAGATTATGAAACTTGTTTCTCCGCTGTTTAGAATGGATTCAGCATCGTGCAGCGAAACACATGAACTGAATTTACGGTAGTTGCCAACAAAATCGATTGCTTATTAAAATTAGGTTATCCGACTGATTATGCATCTATTATGGGTTAATAAAGAGGCTCAATAACTTACGCAGGAGTTATGATTTCCTTATATGGAAGTTTCTGAACTCCTTGAGCAGGAGTTATTTTCAGGTCGATAACGACGTCATCCAAGTCGTAGTTGTGTGTTAGAACCGTTTTGTGTCTGAAGGTGCTGGTCGACGGTCTGGAGGAGGCTGTCGCTGCCGACGACGACGACGACGAAGGGGCATCCTCTTTATGGATATTCGTCGCCGTGTTATTACGAGTGGCAGCGGCTTGTCGACGGCGCATGAACGAGGTCCTGGTTGAGTTTCGAGCCAGCCTGGCGATACGATATGGTTTTTCGGCGCGAAATTTGAAACCGGTAGCCAACTGCTTTTCAGAAGAATGTCCACCAAAATACCTGCGCGTGTAGCGCCGTTTCGCCTTCTCAGAGTCGACGGCGAAGAGTGATTTGTTGGCACGGCGGAATGACTCCTTTTGGTTCTGCAGCACGTTGCTGGTTCGCATGTAGAGCGCGTGTGTCAGCCTAACGTACCAAAACAAAAAACAAAAAAATCACAACAGCACGAACATCACTTACCGCTTTGATAACAAGTTCCGTGGTTCAGTTGCCTTCTTCCATCTAGCCAGCAGAAGCTTGTCAATGCCGGGAGCTACAAAATGCCCTTAAGATAATATCTAACGAAATTATTGCATTCAGCAGCTACACAACTACACGGGCTGCGAACTACCAAACTACAGTACGGTGATTAAGTGTATTAACAAAAGGACAATATTCTTGTATGAAAATTCATTTGTCACTTTGTAACAGAAACTGAAATACATGATATCACAAACTCACTGCAAAAGTTGATTTCAAACCTACTGTGGTAGCAGTCGACAGGAGGAACGAACAGATACTGATGTTCCTTGGTCTAATCTGAGAAAGACAGACTTTTTCTTCACACAGACAAGGTTTAACTGAATTCGCGAAGCCTGGAGAAATTAAGGTGATCCTTCTTGAGTAATAAAAGTAATATCACTGAGAACGTTGGAACCGGTCGACAAATGGCGAAAAATCGCGCAGGCCGCAACTTACGTGACATTTTTCAGGGTTTCGAGCCTTCCCTCTTAAAGCACGGTCTCTTCTTAATTGTTAATTTCCGTTTCTTAATCTCTGTATATACGGAACATACCTACACGCAGTAAAACCGTTCCATACCTGGTTCAACCATTTCACAGTCGTTGCGCGAAGAAACCGACATTACTATACGCAATAAAATGATCGTTCTACGTCTTTCGTCAACATCAAGCTCTCTAAACCGTATAACAAGCATATCAAGGAAGGCACAAGTGATTTCGTAGAAAGAAACAGTCTCCGTTCTTGTTGCAAATACTGAACAGACTATCAGAACCACTGTACACAAGAGTGAGAGTTAACATGTTTAATTCGGACTGGACGGCGCCGCCATTAGAGTCGATGGAATCGAGGTACTTAAACTGGTCAGCAGCCTGTGCTTCTTGGCCTTTCTTATCAGAAGAATAGCTCCCTCATCTGATTTTTAGAAGTCACGAAAAAGACACTTTTCACAATCCTCCTTCCTAGACTATTGATTAATGACAGTGTCGTCCCTGTTCCCCCTAGCGGCATATCTGTGCTATGCCATGTTATTTAAAATGTGAAAATTCTCGTCTTTGACAGAATCAGAACAGTTTTGAAAGTGTATGATAGACAACATGAAGATCACTGTCGCAACATGTTTGCTTGTTCTCGATTAAAAACCTACCGAGTTTTGATTGATGACGCAGGACCGGATGTGTGGCTGGATCCAACCATATAACTTTGTCTCGTCGCGGCAGATATTCAAATTCGATCAGACTGTCACACTGAGCAAAACCATCCCTGAAAATAAAAAAATGACAGGTATTCAAAAACTGTATGGCACTAAAAGTGCAAAAAATTTAAATGTAAAAATTTTTGGCCAGACAACGCCAACATACAGCATTACAGCGGGCACTCGTTCACTTAGGTAGGCGTGTGACTAATCGACAGAGATAAATTAAAACTTAGTCTGTGTATATATATGAAAAGCACAAGCATGAATGCACATAATACGAAAGTTTTGACAAGCCAGTGCGCTTCTAAGATTTCACTGTTCTGACTCCAGCTCTATTACGTCCATTGCGCCATCAGACCGCAACAATCGTGTCGCGAGTTTGACAGTATATACTGGGAGATGTTTGTTTCTGTCTGTTTATGATATGTTCATCATTTACATATAAATGAAAACCTCTCAGCCCAATTAATAAATTTCAAGATTAGAAGATCGAATTTTTATTACGGAGCGATTACACAAGTTCATTCATTAAGCATAAGCAACTTCTTATGTTCGCGGCTGTCATCGTTTTAGTCAGCTATCAAGGCAAACTGCAGCCGTAAACCGCACGCATCAGGCAGCATGGACGTATGTCCGGCATACTTTGACAAGATCACACCAACGGACACCGCTACCCCATCATTCATAAAACAGCCACCTTCTACCCATTTTTCGGCACCAAAGCACAGTGGGAAGAACTCCATGCTCAATGGAATTAGCAGTTAATAAGAGAAAATTTTACGTTGCGCTTTGCATGAGTCGACACGCGTGCAAAGTAACCCACTGACCAACTGCACGATTGCCCCCTCCTACGAAAGCCATTCGAAGAATAGTCAGCCATTTGTCCCAACCTACGTTCACTGTGTCAGTGAGTCTGGTGCAAATCTCGGTAGAGCTGTACATTAAATGGAATTCAACAGAGAAAAATATTACCTTAAAATTTCTGACGGTTTTACGAGGTAATGTCTGGAGGTTCTGGGCACTGGCCGACATCGAGCACAATCGTTGGACTGCGAGCAACTACCAAAACCATAAGATCTAAACAAGGATTGTCAACAAGTCAACTCCGCTGGTAAAGTGTAAAATTCACTTGTGTTTCAACAAGTGTAAAAACTTACAGTCGGGTCAAAAAAGTTTCACAAAGGTTCTCATTACAGATGAATCAACTTTTACAGTCCAACTTATTACAATACAGTAGGTTGATCTTCGTGTTACAAAACAACAACAACCACAGTACTGTAAAATATATTTATAAATCAAAACATATGGTGATGTCTTATGTGTAGTTAAGCGCAGAACTTCACCAAGGATAGCATACTATCTTCGAAAGTTCATTCTCAATACGTGCTGAAGAATCAAAAATTTACTCTATGCCGTCATTTCGCATTTACAGAATTCACTGTCATCAGAAATATTCGCAAATAATATTACGGTGAAACTTGGCCAAATATAGAAAAATTGTATGCAACAAACGGTAGATGGAATAATTTAATGGAAATTTAATGAACAAAAAATTAAAGGGTTAAGAAGTAGAACAACGGTTAAGCTGTCGCAGAGGTGGCATACCTTTTCCCTGTTAAGAGAAATAATAGGGAATCCACCTATAAGAGTTTATGGTATTAATTTTCGTAGTTCAGGGGTGATGACAAACTGCTAAAGAGATGCAAAAGTGATGGGTTCAATTATGGCGGAGGAACAATCTTGTGCTAAC